AGCGTGAGTGGGGGAGGAGCAGAGAAAGGGAGACCCAGAATCCGCAGCAGGCTCCAGGCTCCGAGCTGTCAGCACAGAGCCCGACGCGGAGCTCGAACTCGCGAACCGCGAGATCATGACCTGAGCTGAAGTCGGACGCCCAACCGACTGAGCCACCCAGGCGCCCCTCACATACTTGTTTCTGAGCTCCTTGAACACAAGTTGGCAGACCCCGACAACCCCTCAGTGCCCTAGCTGCGTCGCCTACGAGTGGGAAGGTTCTCCTACACGACAGCCGTTACCCGCACTGAGAAAACTAATCATCGAGGAATATCATCTCCTGTCTAGCTCCTGTTCAGAGGCGTGGAAGGGAGTTTTTCTGTATGTGTGGTAGAGGAAGGCGGTTGACTGATGGCCGTCTTTGGGTGCATCCCTATTTTAACTTGAAACAGTTCATGGGACGTTTGCACGAGTAATGCACGCTCGCTGGAAAGGGGTGAAAGAAGGCGAAAATGCCCTGCCCCGCCTGTTTAGTGGGCCTCTTCTGCTTTGTGAAGGGGGTGGGGGGGGCGCGTCCCCGCCTGTCCCGAGCGGCCCTCCCTGTGCCCTTTGTGTCGGGAAGGCAGCCGCATCTCACGCACCCCCTGTTCCCCACAGCACCAGCAGCAGGTGGCACAGGCCGTGGAGCGTGCCAAGCAGGTCACCATGACGGAGCTAAACGCCATCATCGGGGTACGTGGACTCCCCAATCTGCCTCTCACCGTGTGTATAGCCCTTTAATTCCTCTCATTTAACCGTAAACCAGAGATGGACCCTGACCTTAGCTGGCCTCAAAGAATGGCGGCCCCAGGGCTCCGGCTTCCCGTGGGCTTGGCCCCGTTTGGGGGCTCTCTCCCCATCAGCTCCCCAGTGGCCCCCTACTCCCCACGTTGAGGGAGTGCCCCACATGCCTCCACCTCTAAATTCATCAGCCCCCAGCTTCCCCAGGGGGTGGGGCTCCGAGGTCACCCTCACACCCAGCCTCCTCCTCAGGCCTCCCTGGGCGGGGGCCTGTCCACCCTGTGTCCCCTCCCTGGCAAAGGTCTGCCCTTCTTTGGCCACCTGGGATCAGAACTGTCTCTGCTGTACTGTTGATGTGAAACGTGCTGTGGAATTTGGGTTTGGGCTTTGTCGTGCCGGGCACTGAGCCGCCTGGCGGGGCGTTGGTCACGCACCCTTAGGAATTCTAGTGGGGGGTGTTCTGGAAGTCCTATCTCCCCAGGACCAGGGAAAGCATCCAAGAATGCTTTGGGAGGTCTGCTTCTGGTGGGACCCCTCAGTGGAGGGAGGAAGCCAGATCCCTCCCCTTTTGCGTCCCTGACTCGCATCTTGGATTCACGAAGCATCTTTCTGCTGCTTTGAGTGAGGCTGAGGACATTTAAGATAAGCAGCTGAGGAAAAACAGCTCTTTTCCCGTGACTTTGGGCAAGGCTCTTAGCCTCAGGCGTACCTGTCCACCTCTGGTCCCTAAAATGAAGGGGGTGGGGGAGATCAATGCTTCCCATCCAAGGACAGCTGGCTCTTGGTCCCCAAGGGCAGCTTCTGAACAATGTAGATTTCAAGGCACTCTCCCTGCAGTTCTTTTCCGTAGGTCTGGGGGGTGGGACTGGGAATCTGTGTTTCTGAAGTTTTTTTTAGCTCATTCTGAAAGGTAGTCAGGCTTGGGAAGCAGTGGCCCAAAGGGCTGAGGTCCCGTTGGCCCTGACGTTCTGGGACCCTGCTTGGTCCTCATTTCTCTTTTGTTCTTATGTGAGGCCGTTATTTCAAGGTGGACCCGACCCGAAGGCCCCAGGGTGGTCCGCCTGGTGGAATAAACGAGAACTCCTGGGTTTTCAGCCTGGGGCAGAAACCCTGAGACATGCGTTCTAGCCATAGTTCTTCCCTGTGTGACCTCGGCAGGTCCTGCCTCTGCCCAGGCCTCAGTTTCTGCATCCGTTAAAGGAGGGAGTGGACCAGCCCATCTCCCTGGGCCAGAAAGCACTGGGAGGCTGGGGTCAGAGGGGCAGAAGCATGCTGGTAGCTCCCGACACTCCCGTCCCGCCTCTGGGACCTGTGTCGGTTGTGTCCTGGGGTCAGTCCCGGGGCAGTCACGCAGTGCTGTTGCGGGAGGGCACCGGCGGAGGTGTGAGCGTGGTCTAAACCCTGGCAGTGCCAGGGTGGGGCAGAGCAGGGTCCGGAAGAGGGACTGTGGGGAAGTGGTCAGTGCCTTCAGCCGTGGAGCTGGGAGGCAGTGCTCCTGAGGGTGAAATCCTAGCACCGTAAAGTGGCTGTCTTCTCTGAGATCAGCCGGCAGGGGGTTTTTCAGCCCTGACACCTGTGAAGTTTGGGGCCAGACACTTTGTTGGGGGGGCCTGTCCTGGGCACTGTAGGCGTTGAGCAGTACGCCTGGCTTCAAACCCACTGGATGCCCATAGCAGCCCCCACACACAGTTGTGACCCCCAAAACTGTCTCCAGACATTGCCAGATGTCCCTGGGGGCGGTGGGATGGCTTCCGGTGGGGAGCCACCGGCGTAACCAACGGCCTTGGTTTACAGAGAGGGGAAGTGATTCATGGATGGTCACATAGTGTCCGGGAGTGTCACCCCTCCCCCCGCTCAGCCCATCTGGGGCCTGGGGCCTCTGTCTCAGTGACCCGTTCACGGCTCGGTGGCCGATAGTGGTAGAAGGGGGACGCGGGGACGGGAAGTGCACCGTGAGCTCTGCCCTCCGAAATTTCTCCTCTTCCAGCCCCTCGCGTCCTGTCCCCTCTCCAGGCCGAGCCTTCCCGGCCCGCACCGGGGCCACAGTGGGTCCCCTCCCCCGCTTCCGCCTCCCTCCTTGGCATCGAAAATCCTCTTATGAAAATAACTTTTTTTTTTTTTTTCTAAATTCTAAGAAAAGAGCGAAATTGGGGAAGAAACGCTGCTTGGATTAGCTCCACTTCCTTTAAGTAGTATTTAGGAAGCTACAAGTTAGGTCAAGGCAGCTCGAGGCAGATATTGGAATTCAATTAAAGCCAACGAGTGGGGCCTGTGACCCCCATTTTCAAGGTAATTGCTTCTCCGGCTCTCAGTGAATGCAGCCGTCGCCCTGTCATTAAGCAGGCGGCCGTCTAATCGCTGCGCCTGACAGAGCGTCACAAGGCAGGAATTACGGACGGCTGAAGACGGCCGCGGCATGCTCGCACTGGGGAGCTGGGCTTGACTGCACTCCGGCGAAGGGGCGGCTCGTCTCGCCAGGGAGGAGAGGGCAGAGCGGGCTGGTAGCTGAGCACACTGGGGAAGGCGAGGTAGAGGGGGAGGGCGGGGGCGCAGGGGCCGCCAGGGGTCCTGGGCCCAGCAGTGAAGGGCAACTGGTGGCTCTACCCCCGTGGGGCCGTCCGATTTGCCCATCTGGAGGGAGAAGTAGCCCGGCCCCCTGGTCTGGGAATTAGGGGGGCTTTGGGCAAGGTTCCTCCGGGCCTCAGTTTCTCCATTTGTGAAAAGACGGAGGCGGGCTAGGTAAGTGTGCTGTGAGGTGCCTGCTTCAGTGCGATGTGAGAGGCTCTCTTGGGCGTGGAGTTGAAGGATTCTGAGTCCGTGTCTTGGCTTGACAGTTCAGTGTGTCTGGCGTGGGTGGGTGTCCGTCGTGGCAGATTTATTGCACGGAGTAGAGTATTTCTAGGTCTCCTGGCGAGAGAGACTCGGATCCAACATCGGGCTGCTGTAAAGGGAGAAGGGGACAGAGGGGCGGAGGAGGGAGCCCAGGCTTGCTGGCTCAGCACACCCCCCTCTCCAGGGAACTCAGATATCCTCGAGGGAAGACGGGCTGGAAGATGTCTCTGTGCCAGCCGGGGCCTGGCAGGACCCAGTTATCGTAGACCCCATTCTGTTACAGGCCCGTTTTTTCTTGGATCCAAATTGCTGAAAGGGTCAAGATTCCTAAGCACGGGGTGGAGGGGTGGGGAGCGGATTTTGTCCCTTGAGCAGTATCCTGTAGAAGGCATCTCTAGGCAGATTAAAGACCCTGTGAGCTGGGGCGCCTGGGTGGCGCAGTCGGTTAAGCGTCCGACTTCAGCCAGGTCACGATCTCGCGGTCCGTGAGTTCGAGCCCCGCATCGGGCTCTGGGCTGATGGCTCAGAGCCTGGAGCCTGTTTCCGATTCTGTGTCTCCCTCTCTCTCTGCCCCTCCCCCGTTCATGCTCTGTCTCTCTCTGTCCCAAAAATAAAAA